CGGCGAAAACAAGATGGGGCGAAAAGGGAAAGAATTAAGCAACCAGGTAAAAGAAATCGCTTGGAAATTATTACAAGAAGGAAAAACTATCAGTTACGTGTCAGAAACATTAGATGTGTCCAGGACTACAATCGCCAGTTTTAAGAAGCGTGTAGAGCGCCGAGGTTTCATAGAAAACATCCCGAGACGAGGCAGGAAACCTGTCGTGACAGCCCGAGACTATCGGAAGCTAGAAAGGCTCGTAAAAACCCACAGAAGAGAGAGTTTACAGGATATAACGGACAAATTCAATGAAAATAAAGAACGGCCAATATCTAAACGAACTGTACAATTACATCTGCATAAACATGGATTCGTGAGACGGGTTGCAAAGAAAAAGCTGGTAATTCGAGAGGTAAATAGGAGAAAGCGTTTATCTTGGTGTCGTGAAAAGAGAAAAGTCACTGTTGACAACTTTTGGAGAAAAGTTATATTCTCAGATGAATCCAAGATTGTTGTGGGACAAGACTCTCGTGTGTATATTTGGAGGAAACGGGGAGAAGGTTGGAGGCCGGATTTGGTAGAGGCGCGCAAAACAAAACCATGTTACCAAGTTATGATCTGGGGATGTATCACCTGGCATGGAGTCGGCACTATTTCTGAAGTGGATGGAAATATAAATGCTGATAAATATCAGACAATCTTAGACGACAATTTGTGGCCAGTTTTAGCCCGTCATTTTCCGACTGGAAATTATATTTTCCAAGACGACAATGCGCCTGTACACCGTGCACGTTCGACTCAGGATTATTTACACAGGAACGGGATTACAACGATGAGCTGGCCAGCCCAGAGTCCAGACTTAAATATAATTGAAAATCTGTGGCTCCTTATTAAAAGAAAGCTTCAAGGAAGGATAGGGCGAATTGAGAACAAAGACGATCTCTTCCGTGAAATCCAGCGCATCTGGACTGACATTACACCAGAGTATGTCAAAAGCCTGTACAGGACTATTCCGAGACGATTACTAAGTGTAATACGCTTAAAGGGTCACCTTACAAAGTACTAGGTAAGTTATTTTTGATTTATTTAATTTCTGAAATGGAATAAACGAGTTACAATGTTGACCTACTTTCGTCGCGAGTGTAAACACGCCGCCATTTTGTACGAATATATATTGCATCATGCATGTACACAGGTTAAATCGATCGCCAAAAATGTATGAAGTACTTGTTCACGTTGTAAATAAAACTAGATGCTGTCATGAGAAAGTAATACCCGCACTGACTAAGGTGTTTGCCTTAAATACACACTCCTACATATTGGGCGGCTTTCCAAGGAAAAAGTCAAAATAATTCTATAATTCACACGGAACATGTATTCGTCAAATTGAGTATGGAATTCTCAGACCCTGTGACCATGTGACCTATGGGCTTTCAGAATCTCTTTTACATGCTTAAATACTAGTAATTCATTACCAATTTGAATTTAATTAATGATGTAAATTAGATTTTGATAAATGGTTTGCTCATAAAAGGACCTAATCCCCCCCCCCCCCCCCCCCCCCCCCCCTCTGTCTGTCTCGACACCAAAAACACACGGCACATACTTTTTTTGGAATAGGCTAGCTGATGGAAAAGTTTTGTTAAAACATCGCTTGTTATGAATTAATTTAAAATTTGTTCTTGTACTATTCATGTTTACATGTAAATACCTTTTCGGCACACCACTTCATCTGTTAAGGCGACGGAATTTTGATATAGGTTTGCCGAAGGGGATAGCATTAGCACGTGCTGCAGCCTGGTGTGCACTTTGTCAAATTGTGTTATAATTGAATTAATATATTTCATGAAGTTGAACATGTAAATTTCTATGACAGTCCGTAAGTACAAGTTTCAGTATAGTGGGGGTAAAATAAACCAAAATGCAAATGATTAGGTTAAAGTTAAAAAAGGGTCAAAGATCATCGCTTGCCACACTGCTACAGCTTGTCAGGAAATTCTGGGCTGGAATTTTTTGACTGAGAAGTGTGAACCCCCTCCCCACTCCCGAAAAAAAATTCTGGACTCTACACCAGTATTGGCAGTAACTGAATGTCACATTGACATTGAGATAACTTCACAATTTCATATTGTGAAGTTATCTCAATGTCAATGTGACATTCAGTTACTGCCAATACTGGTGCAGATCCAGAATTTTTTTGGGAGTGGGGAGGGGGTTTCACATCTCAGTCAAAAAATTCCAGCCCAGAATTTCCTGACAAGCTGTAGAAAAAAACTGAAAACAAACAAAATAAAAACGATGATAGTGGGGTCGTGGGGTCAATGTTTTCTAAGTTAGGGGGAGGATGTCCAGTCATTTTTTATTTGCTTCCGTATAGAGTCTTGTTTAAATAACAAAGCAAATTCCAAGGGGAGGGGGATCCAATCTCCCTAGGCACTCCCTGTCCCCGAAATTACAATCGATTTTGTGACTTCAAAATAGTAGATTTTTTCCCATTTGACTAATTATACATATTTTGTTTCTTGTGTTTATATTATGTCTGTCTATTTGTCTGCAGAAACTTTAACCTTGCCCATAAGTTTTAAGTGGGATGGGCTATACACATGGCTTCCACATTTCATAGTTTAATTCCTTGTGACAAGACCTTTTATTAGGGTGCCATGAATTTTGACCTCTTGATTACTTGACCTTGGATTTTTACACATTTTTACAAGAAAAATACCCAACTTTAAACTTAACCTAAATTTTGATCAGTAGGTGCTAGGGCTTTCATGCTTAACATGTGTATTCATTGTGAACTGTCAACAGGTATAAATATGTTTGACCTTGACCCTAGAGTTTGAACCACTTAAAAAAAACTTTAACCTTGGCAATTAAGTTTTGAACAGGAAGTACTAGGGATTTCTTATTTCACATGTGTATTCCTTGTGACAAGACTTTCTTCTGATACCAACATTTTGAACCCTTTGACCTTGACCTTTGACTTTGACATATATTTTAGATACTTCAAAGCAATAGGCTTCCATACGGGGGGGGGGGGGGGATCAGTGTTTCACAAACACATCTTGTCATCTTGTCTACATTATTATTTGGTGATTTCTCCATATGAGGGAAAAATTCCTGAGAGAGATGTTTTCACAAAAAACAAAAAAATTACTAAAGAATTAAATATAAAACATGAATATGTTGGTCATATCTCTGCATGAAAAAAAAAACAGCTTTTCAAATACTGTAACCATTGTAACTCTTTCAAAGTATTTACCTGTGAGAATGGCATGTGTTTTTTTTTTTTTTTACATATGACCTAGAAGTTTGATCTACTTGCCAAAAAAAATTAAATTGTTTTAAATTCATCATTTTGAAAGAGAAAAGTTAGGGCATTCATATTATACATGCATGTATATTATTACCTGTGATAAGACCTTTCCAGATAAATCATGACTTTTGACTCTGTGACCTTGACCTTGAAGCCTAACGTACTTTTCAAAAATGTTGCATTTGCTAATAACTTTTGATTGAGAAGAGATATGACTCTTACATTTGACATGTATACATTAATTACTCATAAGAATTCACGATGTTTCCCAGCATGCAATGCTTTTTTACCCCTTGACGTTGATGTTTTACCTAATTTTCAAATTATTTAACTCTCCCAAAAGATGATAAGGCTTCTCAGTAAAATTAAGGAGGAGTTAAGGGAAGACAGGGCTTTTTGCACAAAAAACGTCATTTTTCGACCCCCATTTGACCCCCTGGGGCAAAATTAAGATTCCGAAACCTTACTGCACATCTACATGACACCACTAACCATCTCCCAAAAGATGATTAGGCTACTGTGTAAAATTTAGGAGGAGTTCAGGGAAGAAAAGTGTGACAGACGGACGGACGGATGGACGGACATGAGTAACAACAATATACCCGAACTTTCTTTAGAAAGTTTTATTTCTTTTTATTTCACTCCAAAAAAATTCAAACCTCAGAAATTATATTATACATCAGTATAATAAAACGCTTATCCACTTGTTGTGGGTGGGATGGCTCTTTTATCAAACCCTTGACAGGAAATATTCCCCTCGTGCAAGCCCTCGGGGAATATTTCTCTGTCGCGGGTATGATAAAAGATCTATCCCACTCACACCCAGTGAATAAGTGTATAACATTCCTGGTATTTTTGGAAAAAAAACTATTATAAATAGCTTGTATTGCCCATAAATATGCACTGTATGGATATTTGGAAATGTGAAATCCTGAACAAAGCAGAATATAGAAACAATAGACACATAAATCAGAGAAAAATCGAATTAAACGTAGAAACGACTAAATTTTCTGAGTTAAAGTTATAATAATAAAAATCCATATCATTCTCATAGTTACATAACACTCAGTGAGATATTAACACATTATTTCTCCGTTTTGAACGACATTAAGAAAAAATTTAAAAAATTGGATGTCCGCCATCTTGAATCGCCATTTTGACCTTTTGAACGCCATTTTCATGTAGGTCAGCATATTTTTTTTCGGATTCAGCATACTCGAAATAGGTTACACACTATGCTGGACCAAATAATAATTTTTTGCCGTTAGAAGTTATTTCTAGCCTGCTTTTTAAAAATCTGGACCAGACTAATATATTAGGAGTTTAAACCGGATGTAAAATTATGTTATTTGTATTTTGAAAAAAAAAAACTATCATAAATATAAATTTAGCCAGCATTTCCCATAAATTTGTTTTAAAAGAGGTGTGCAATATTGCCAGGCGTCATAAAATCGCAAAACGTCTTTCAATAATTGGAATTTTTATATTTTCAAAAAAGAAAGAAATTTTAGTTCATTACATGTACATGTACGTTGCGTGTGTCCTTAATGCCGCCCATTTCTTTCAGTACTTTGATTTTTTGTCGTCATTTGATATCTGTGACGACGTGTCAGAAAGACTAACATGATACACCTTGCACCTAGAACTGTTCAGTGTAGTGGACCTCGTAACCTAGATGATAAGACGAGTCCCTGGTGGATAAGTCTCGAATGTTATGTCATTGCTGTCGAGGTATATCAAAGTCGGACACCTGCTTTAGAACTCAGTCTACTTTTAAAGCATAGGAAGTGTGCACATGAATCATGAACTTATTAGTAAAAGTTTTCCATTTTTCCACTTTCCTAATTTACTCTATCAGCGAGCCACTTGGATACAAAGTAACGACTGGTTCCGGCAATGATTCAGAAAATATGCCAAAAGTTGAACAAATTGACATTGATAAAGAGTTACAGAAGGAGTTAAATACATTGGAAAGTCGGCTTCAATTTATTGAAACAACTTTGATAAACTTTAAGAAAGATTACGATGTTTTAAATGAAAGCTACAATAATATGAAAACTAAGTTTGATCAGGCCACTGCACGGATAAGCCAACTAGAAAATTCAACCCAAGAAACGAGAATGGAAGTAGCTGAGCAAAAGTTGACGTATGCCAATTTGCAGAGTGTTCATTCTAGCCTCCAGAAAACAGTGAATGACACAAATAATCGACTAAATTTTAAAAGTGCTGTTTTGTCCACGGAAATTAGCAATATAACTGATGAAGTGGTAAATATGTCAAACCTAACCAATCGTGACTTTGCCTCTCTCAGGAACAAAAACTTGATTCTAGAAAACAAGTTCCAAGAAATTACCAAAAACCAACTCTCCATAGCATCGACTCTTAACCAGATCAGTAAGAATATTTCATTTATCTTCTGGAATGATCATTGAGCACTATAATGTAAATTGGCAACTTATCTTAGGTTTTCGCCATGACGGTGGTTCAGTTGGTAGAGTGCTAGCTGCAGAACTGTAGCTCTCTGCTTGAGAACATTCGGACAGATAAAGCAGAGAGTTACAGATCCAACCGCTGGAAAAACCGTCGATTTACGCCGACAAATTGTTGTCGCTACTTTAGGTATTTATTTTGTGTAGTATATTAAGCTTTTTCTGGCTTTTGGAATGGTATCCTATACTAATTCATATATTTAACTCTTATATTTGATACTTTGTTTACCTTTTATGGGTCCGAAACAGTCCTGAATATAATTTTGTAACGTCGGTATAAAAGAGTTCCATTTCGATATCCGTAACCCACAAACAGCCATTTGTTGGCGTTGGGAGGTAAGTAAATAATGATGAATTGAAGTTAATGTATGATTAATTATTAAATACCATTTAAAATTATTTTCAAAGCTGGGGAAAGTATAAAATACACGAAAAAATACCCATAGCGAGCGACAAAAAAATCTTCGGCGTAAATCGAAGGTTTTACAGCGCTTGGATCTGTAGCTCTCTGCTTAATCTGTCCGAATTTTCCCAAGCAGAGAGCTACAGTTCTGCAGCTAGTAGAGTGCTTGCTCCGTGATTGAAAGGTCGTGTGTTCGAATACGATCGACGGCGTCTGAACTAAGTCCATGAAAATAGGTAGCAACGCTCCTTCGCCAGACGCTCGGCACTTGGCCCTGTTGCAACGTGTTGATTCAGGACATCTGGCATTGATAATCATATGCTTTTCCGCGACTACTCTTTACTACTTTTTTCAGCGATTTTTGCTTTATCTTTCCATTCCGCGATTTTTGAATGGTTCCGTATTGCAATTAAAATCAATAGATTGCCGATATTCACCTGTATTTACCTGTATTTCCCCAAAGCAGTTTACTTGGTAGTGGGTACTTGCAAACAGTGATAAAAATTGAATGAATCTCACATTTCACACCCGATTGTGCTTGGTTTAATATGTTCAAATCAATATGGAAATTGTTGCTCATACAGAAATGAATCAGGGGAACGTATGTAATTACATACAGAAGAGTAAATGATTTAAGGAATTGGAATTTGTCATACCGATGCAAGATAAATAAAATCTGAAAATCCACGATTACAATTTGATGCTAAAGGAATTACTGCAGTGGAAACGAAGAAAAAAATACCTACAACCATCTCAGTAATGAGATCCTACTGTTTAAAACCCTACTACCACCTCCCAGTGATAAGCGGGGGGCAACATGTGTTACCTGGCTAACGGAAGAGGTACAGAAAAAGAAAAGTTGCGGAAAAGCTTAAAATCATAATCATGGTAAAGCAGTAAAACTTGTAGCAGAAAAATTGGAATTTTTTTCGCGTAAAAACAATGTCGATCGGACAAACAAACGGAACGAACAAAAAAATCAATTAATCTTAGGTTTTCTAAACATACATAACTCAAATGTCATCTAAAAATCTTTACTTTGTACGCCAGTGTTACTAACATTTAAGATCGGCGAATACTTTGAGCAATATGCCTTTCGTGTGACAAATAAGACAGTGATTCTTTGATATTTTAAATATAGCTCCATACATGCATTTATTATTAGATACTATGAGGTGAATCATCTCATCGAATGTAATAAGACTCGGTCGATACGAGGGTTTCTCCGATATGTATCACGATATTTGTGTCACATTTATAGCTCATCATTATTTATTTTGATTTTTTGCTCAGTATTGAAAAAAAATTGTTCAAATAAGATGTACATCGGTTGTAAAACTGATTATTTACTAATATCAAAAATAGTGTTTGTAACAAAGGTTTACATTTACACATTGTATTTTAAGGTAATTCCACCCTCCTATGATGTCATAGGTTTTTGCAAAAACTGTAATTAGTTTAAATTTATACCTAGTTGAACAATATCTTTTGGAAGAATGCTATACAATAGGTGTAATGATAAATAGTGTTTAGTAAAAAAAAATTTAAAATGCATATTTTCTTTATTTACTCAATTATTCAATCTTTTAAAAATGTTGACAAGGGCAATAACTCCGTCTAAGGTCTCTTCATTCAGGCATTTGCTTTATTGTACTTCTGATGTAAGATGGTTTCCCTGATATTCAAAATTCAAAAGTATCTTATAAGTAGAAAATATTTAGGAACATTCTGCATCAACATTATGCATTTTAACCAGTTTTTACATATTTTTCATAATACTGTACTGTTTACAAAATATGTGCGAGTTTTAATGTTGACATACACTTCTGTTTAATTATGTTTCGCATATTAAATATGGTGACCTATACATCTTTTGCAATAATTGGAAAGTTTAAAGTATATTAAATGAAAATAAATGCAGTTTTTTGTACTTTGAACCATTAATTAAAAAAATTGTGAGGAAACACCTTAAAAATACAGTCAAGTACTGTTTTCCGTAGCGCTGCGTATATCGTTGGTACACAGGATTTATATATCGTGCCAGCCTGTTTTTTTTTTAAATATTAAAAATAATAAAAATAGTTTGCATAATTTTTATGAAGCTTATACTAGTAGGTAGTGATATGGCGACTATAGATTTGGGGGACCATCTATAATGGTCTCAGTTACAATTTTAATCAAAGAGCTACATGTAGTAATTTTGTCTTCATTTTTCAGAGTTTCTAAAACATAACCCAGTTGTCTTTGTGGCAAAACTATCTCGAGACCTTATGTTATCAAGTAGAGAAATAATTACCTTTGATGACGTACACTTGAACGAAGGCCTTGGTTTTGACCCCGTCAGAGGAGTGTTTACCTCGACAACCAATGGAATCTACACATTTTCTGCAATTGTTGAGTCCACAAATAGGCCTGTAAAAGCAGCTATTTATAGAAACAATGAACCTTTTGCTCAGATATCTGGACCGCTCCTAAACAGAGGGGGAGCAATGGCATCCTCCGCCACTTACGTCCATCTAGATGAGGGGGACTTAGTGTGGATTCAGTGGACAGGCGATAATGCAATGATAGGGCACCTGCAGTCGCAGTTTACAGGGCATCTTCTCAATCTTTAGCCATACATGTACAAACGCATCTTTTTCTTAACAAAAAAATATTCATATCATCCGGTGTTTCTGAGAGCAAAAAGGACTTTCGTGTGAACAACAATTAAATGTAAGAATCTGGCAAAGACACGATCTTGCTTTTATTCTGTCTCATTAAATTGACCGATGAGCCGAGATAATGTCTCATTACTGGTCAGGAGAGTGTTCCAAGGGATGCCCTAATAAAACTTCAGAAAATAAATCAAAAATTAAAGTGTCTGATGGAATAATAATGAAATGAAAATACAGTTGTAAAATTTGCATTTTTGATGTGTTCTCTTGTTGTGGTGGATGTGTAATGTGTGATATGATTGTCCCTCTCTTTCGCGAAAGCGAGGGGGGATTAAACCTCAGTCTGTCAGTCTGTCACAAAAATTTTTGGTCATATCTTTTCAATGAGAAGAGAGAGGGCTTCCATATTCCTGTGGCAACCTTTCCAAATAAACTGATTTTTTGACCCCTTGGTCTTGAAGTTTGTTCTACTTTTCAAATAACTTAACATTATTTCAAATTGCCCAAAACTTTTGAAAGAGAAAAGTTAGGGCTTTCATGTTACACATGTATTATATAACCTGTTACAATGCCTCTGGAAATATACTTTGATCTTTGACCCTGAGACCATGACTTTGAAGTTTGACCTACGGACTTTCATATTCGACATATGCATTACCTGTAACAAGATTTTTCAGAGCATTCTATGATTTTTTACCCTTAACCTTAATGTTTGATCAATTTTCATTTTTTTTTTTAAGTTTCTTGATTACATTTGAATTTGATACACTATGTTTTTTTTTACCCCGTGACCTTTGAAGTTTCACTTACTTTTCAAAAATGTTATTTCTTCTTTATGACTTTTGATTTGGCTTAATATCATAATTGACGTGTGCATTACTTGTAGCACTTGCTTGACATTTCCAAGCACGCTTTGATTTTTGACCCCTTAAAGGAGATGGGTGAACATGACGAGAGATAAGCCCATAGCGCAACAAACATGAAGGTGAAAAATTAAATCTGAATTTTATCAAAATTTTCCTTAATATTTCATCTAACATTAAAGTATACTTTATGTAAAATCTCTTCAACTTGCACAAATCTCATGAAAATTGAACTTATTTGCCTATGAAATATTACACACACACGAAAGAGGTCAAAACGAGTCATTTTTTCACACTATGACACTATTTTTCGTTATGAGTGGGTCTTCTCTCCATATTTTTGAAAGGTAAACCTCAAAGTTTGCATAAAAACATACATATTTTGGTTTCCAAAATTATGGAGCAATGACCCACTATCCCTAAAAAATATGAGTTTATGACATAACTTTCGTATCTTTTCGAGAAATACTTGAAGTCCCTTAAGTCAATGGTCATATCACAAACATGATTAAGTGCCACACTTCATCAGGACTTGTGTAGCGTAGTGGTTAGCGTGCTAGTCTCATTAGAGAATGCAACTCAGGATTTTTATTGCCAGGGTACCACATTATTATATATATATATATATATATATATATATATATATATATATATATATATATATAGAAAGCACAAAGAAATTCACTTTTATATGGATACCCACTTCCGCCCCAGCCCGGGGTTGAACTCTCGACCTTCGGAATCTGTCTCCTAGCAGTACAGGAACAAGCGCGCTAGACCGCTCGGCTGTCTAGGCAAGTCAAAAAACTTGCTTTCGATGCCGATGGAATTCTCATTTTTTAACCTATACTGCGACGTGTCTGTGGAAAGTGGGGGGGGGGGGGGCTAAATCCTACAAAGCAATGTTCAATGTCTATACTAAGTATATATTTGGAAAAAAGTGGGGGGGGGGGGGGCCCCCCCCCCCCCCCCCCCGGTTCCGACGCCTATGTGTAGTGTAGGACAGCGCCGCGAGAATTCCATCGGCATCGAAAGCAAGTTTTTTGACTTGCCTAGATAGCCGAGCGGTCTAGCGCGCTGTTCCTGTACTGCTAGGAGACAGATTCCGAAGGTCGAGAGTTCAAACCCGGGCTGGGGCGGAAGTGGGTATCCATATAAAAGTGAATTTCTTAGTGCTTTCTATATATATATATATATATAATAATGTGATACCCTGGCAATAAAAATCCTGAGTTGCATTCTCTATTGAGACTAGCACGCTAACCACTACGCTACACAAGTCCTGATGAAGTGTGGCACTTAATCATGTTTGTGATATGACCATTGACTTAAGGGACTTCAAGTATTTCCGGACGTTTTTCCGATCGAGTACCCGGGTACTCGGTAGAATTGTAAATATATGTACAAGTCTGTTCATTTTCTTAAACTAAGTTAAGCTGTGTTAAACCCCAATGCTGTTTTTATTACGTTTTTAGTGCATGATTTAAAACATCGAGTCCAACAAAAATGTTTCATTGTACTTAATTTAATTATTTAAAAAATGCAATACACGAAAGACATCAATTTGATACACAAATAATTACAAATGTTTATATTTTTTGCTTGGGAAGATTTAATCAATCTGCTACGCCTTTATGTAATGATCACACTCATTAACGAAACAGAAGGAACGGACATTGTTGGGATCGCTTGCCAATAATTGTATATCCCATATACGCTAAATTTACTCCGCCTAGCTGACTTTAAACATTTTTTTTCAATTATTACCAAAATATTTCTGTACATTTTTAAGTCCGTAGCGGCATACCTATGCATGTCAGATTTCGGTACCCTTTACCAAATAATTTAAAGATAACAACAGACGTAAACGATCCTCAATGAAAACAAATTATTGAAGCCATCCGCAGGCGGTGTTTTCAGGTGTAGGCGACGGCACTCTAATTATTTTTGTATGCACATTGAAGTTAATATTTGATACGTTTTTTGATAAATATTTGTACTTTGGAATAAGAAAAAATACACATCCGAGTAACCGAGTACCAGTTTTAGTATTCGATACTCGGACGTTCGATCGAGTACCCGGTTAACCGGGTACTCGTTGACATCCCTAGTATATATATATAAAAGAATAAATGTTAACGAAAAATTTTCCTCAAAACTTTTTGTTTCTCATGATTTCATAAAAATCAATGATGAGAACTTTACTCTAAATACTGAATCCACAATTTGAATATGATTTTTATATATCTGAAGCTTGTGGGTTTTTTGCACGCTAAGTTCACCCATCTCCTTTCATGATAATATTAATGAGAAATAAATCACGTGGTAGCAATCTCATGAATAAATTTCACACCATTTCTCCATATGCACAACTCACAAATGCATCCGTACATACATGCATAGTACTGCAAATGTAATTTGTGCACATAATGTGTAGCATCATTTTACAAGCACTCATTTCAAGTTATAAAAATACTGATATGATTTTTCCCCTTTACACATCAGAAAGTTTTATCTTGAGACACTTGAAAAGAAACGAGTTGACAGAGTTAAAAAAAATTGTCTAGAATCATTTAATAGTTTTCAATATAAATAATAATTACTAGTATCCTTTATAATGTTTCTTTTGTTAAATTACGCTTTAGAAATTACAAAGGTGTGAGAGTGTTAGTATACGTGCTTGGTGGAGTTAAAAACTATTTATAAAGAAATAAAGGTTTCCGATTTCTGTCTGTAGTGAAGAATGCAATGAAACATATACAGTGGACCTTCAGATATCCGGACGCCAGATATCCGGATGCTTCAGTATCCGGACGCTTTTTCATCGGAACAGAATTTTAAAATGTTATTATGTCTTGTTTAACTGGTGATTCAGGTATCCGGACGCTTCACATATCCGGACAAATTGACTGGGAACCAAAGCGTCCGGATAAATGAGGCTCCACTGAACATTGTAGAGAAGCCATCATAACGAACAGTATTCAATATCAAAAGTCCATTAAGCAGAGCAAACACGGACCTCCAAAACATCAAAGGTGAGATCAGGTGCCATGGAGGAGTGAGCATCTTTTGCCGACCGGTCATACACGGTGTGTGCTCCTCGTCATGAATGGGAAATAACGGGGAAATCCGTCGTCAATTCAGTGTATGAATAATGGACAAACAGTTAATATGAAAACACGGACCTCGCTTTATATGGTCACATCCGAAGGACCGGTCTCCACGCCCCACAGTGGGATTCGAACCCGTGACATAAGAATCAAAGCCTTACTCTAGAGCAGACGCTTCTAACCATTGCGCCACTCGGGTGACTCTTTACACGTATAAGATTTTGGACAAATTCTGATTCACATGAATTCAAAAATAGGTCTGCTAATAACGAGGCGCAATTAGTACCCATGGGAATTCCAATAGATTGTTGGAAGACCTGTCTTCAAAAATCACATAGATATTGTCAATCAGAGACTCAAGCATCTTTCTGATGTCACTTAAGAGTACTTGTATATACAATGGAGTTTTATGAAGAGACTTACTTCTACAATCGACGACTGACTTCTACAATTTAAACAGTCACTGTGACAAACTCCAATTACTAAAATGTAAAAGTCAGCTGTCGAATGTAAAAGTAAGTCTCTTCATAAAACTCCATTAAGAATGTTTTTTAAACATTTTTTTTGGCAAATGACCAATTACAAGGTAAGTAAAGTTACGAGTTCCATTTTTATTGAAGTTGAAAGTCATAAGTATTTAAGCTGTTGATTTTGGTATAAAGTTATTTGATTTCAAATTCAAATTCCAAAAGTTCCTTGGAATTTTTAAGTATCCACATCTGATTTGCACCACTTCTTGAAGATATTGTTGCACAGTACTCTTGAGCTTTTTCCTTCACTACTTCACTTCCTTTACTACTGTCAATATCTTAGTGATGAGTAACGAAAGAGGCTTGGTTGAACATTTACTGGAACTCAATATCTTAGTTAGAAGTTAAGAAAGAGGCTTGGTTGATTGATTGATTGTTGTTTAATGTCCCTCTCGAGAATTTTTCACTCATATGGAGACCTAACCACTTGCCGGTGGAGAGCCGCAAACTTTGTCTTATGCCCGGCACTTCGGGCCATTGAGCAGCGAGGGATCTTTTTCGTGCCAGCACCTACTGCGACACGGAACTTCGGTTTATACGGTCTCATCCGAAGGACCGGTCTCTACGTCCCAAAGTGGGATTCGAACCTGCGACGTAAGGATTGGACATTTACTGGAACCCGCTATGTATCTTTGTTTGTAAGGATTTTTATGAAGTTTCAGAATCCACTAAAGATGTGGTAGATCGTATTCAATTTTGTTTGGGATATTAAAAAAATTCAAAACTGCATATGATTTTGAAGAATTTATTCCTTAGAAAGGGAACTGTGTGTATAAACGAAGACAATATTGT